ATTGCTAAGGCTGATTTAGATACCAATGGCTCTTCATTTAGTTCAGAGGAGGTTAGCTAAATTAACAAGTCAAGAAAAGATGGAAGAAGTAAGAGGAGAGGGTTCTGGAAGGAGTGGGCAGAGAAAGAAGAAAGAGAGAAAGAGGGGGCTACTTTTAGGATTTGTTTATTCAGTGTGTGTGTGTGTGTGTGTGTGTGTTTGTGTGTGTGCACATGCACGCCAAGCCATGTATTCTGGAGGACACAGCCACTTGCAGGAGCCAGTTCTCCCTAGCTATGTGGGTCACAGAGACCAAACACGGGTTGTCAAGTTTGACTGCAAGCACCTTTACTTGCTGGGCCATCACACTGGCCCCACACCGCTTTTTGAAACAAACGCCAATGGACTTCGAGCAAAGATTTTCAGAGTGTTCCCAAATTCTCACATTTGGACTCCAGCAATACCTGCAAGCTGTCACAAGGAGACACGTCATGTCTAGTCTCTAAGCAGGCCTCCCCTCACCTCAGATGAGAACCTGAAACACTCGGCTTCCCTCTCAGGTCCCTCTTTCTACCCCTGTGAGAAGTAACTATGAAATTCCGATATTTAGAAACAAAGGCTTTTCACTTCCAGATTTTTAGCCGTGACAGAACAGGCTGCATGTACGCATGTGTGCAAAATTCAGAGGCAAAGGAACTGACAGTGTTCACTGATCTTTTCAAACCCCATTCTGCGGCTGTGGGAATGACGGTACTTGGAGGAGACTCTCAGTAACTTCAAGGAGCAGGGAGACGTCTCGACAGTGCCGCCATCAGCGTCCCTTCCTTCCGTCTTAAATGGCAGCTATGAAACGCTGCCACTTCCACCAGCGCTGCATATGTTCAATAAAGGCAGATAGATAAGCAGCCCTGACTTGCTTGGAAAGAGCAAAGTTACAGCTGGTTGCTCTCGGTAGTTTCTTGGCTGGTCCACAGTTCTAAGACGAGAGCTCCCAGAATGGAGACAGAATCGGGGTGTGGATGGGACACCTCCTCGAGCACCCCTGCAGGCCGCCCACTCTGCAGGGGTGAGATCCAGGACACTGCTGACATGGGCTCCAGGGACTTTTATAAAGGTCGCTGCTCTCATAAGGGACTGCACGGCACCACAGTTTCTCCGTGCTAAATAACACTATCTCAAGACTCCCGCTTATTAACCCACATGCATCCTTCCTCAAGGCTCTCAAGGAGTAGGTGGCTTCCTTGGGAGGTTTAATGTAACAATACATACCATGTAGTCTGCGTTGCTCCACACCAGACACCATCCTGAGAATACTGTCCCCTTGAATACTAACACGTAAGGCTAGATATTACAAATCGCACTTTGTAGATTTTGGAAGTTGAGGTGTGCTAACTGGCTTTCATTTTCAACCTGACATAGCCTGGAGTCTGTTGCTATGATAAAAACACTCTAACCCAGTGGTTCTCAACCTTCCTCATGCTGCGACCCTTTAATACAGTTCCTCTTATTGTGGTGACCCTCGACCATAAAATTATTTGAGTTGCTACTTCTTAACTGTAATTTTCCTACTATTATAAATCGTAGTGTAAATAGCTATATTTTCCAATGGTATTTGGGGAGTCGAGAACCACTGCAAAAGCTCCTTAGGGAGGAAAGGGTTTACTTCAGCTTACACTTCCGGATGACAGTCCATCACTCGGGGAAGTCAAAGCAGGAACTGATGCAGAAACCATGGAAGGATGCTGCTTGCTGGCTCACTCAAACTTTCTGTTATATACCTCAGCTGTACTTACTTGCCTGAGGGATGGGGCCACCCACAGTGGGCTGGGCCCTCCCACATTGATCATTAATCAAGACACTATTTCAGAGTCAACGCCACAAGTCAATGTGATCTGGGCAATCCCTCAGTTGAGGTTTCCTTTTCTCGGGTGATACATGGTAGTGTCAATTTGATAAATAATAATGATAATAATAATAATAATACCCTAACCAACACAAAGTTTATTTTAAAATGACCACTTAATTGAGGGTCATACTGCTGGCAAGAAATTTATGATCTGCACTTCTGAAACTTCTGCCTCTAACCAGATTCCACGCTTTGCAGAAAACAGGATGGGTGTGACGCTAAGGAGAGTCGGATTTGTGCTCAGCAGCCTTCCCACAGCTAGTGTTGTGACTGCTTTCTCCCTCTCTCCTGTGGGAACAGCCCTCTCTCCTCTGCCATTCTCCGGGGGCTGAAGTCACCACCAGTACCCGTCGCTGAGCTCTGGTGAGTTCACTTCTCTGGACTTCACTTCCTCACCCATCCGTTCCAGGTTGGGAAGGAGGAGGGCACCAGTGGGAGGTGGTGGGAGATTGGGCCTCATCGTAGGAAGGAGGTGGGGGGGGGCCCATTTCTTTCTGTCTCCTAGCTGCCACAAAGTAAGCAGCCTTCCTTGAGCACATGGTCTTGCCGGCCGCCATGTTACCCTTCTCCTTGGGTGTAAAAGCCATGGGCCAAATGAACAGTGGCTGACTGACGTCTCTGACACCATGAGCCAAAAGCCACTGTCTTCCTCTCAGTTATTTTTCTAGGGTCTTTTACCACAATCATAAGCCGGACATAACGTTCACATGAAAAGCTACCAAGGCATGAAAGAAAACACTCAAAATAGGGAACCACAGAATATGTGTTCAATAGTAATTAAAGGATGACCGGGAAAAAGATGAGTGGGAACAGATAATATTGGCATTTCCTCTTGATCACATTTCCTGTGTGCGTGGCTAGCTGGTTTTTGAGTCTCTCGCAAATTAACTTGGTTAGAATAATTTGATTTCATTCCGTCTCTAGCAGTGATTAGAAACTTAAGACAACATCAGTGCCCATGAATGGAATGCAATGGCAACGCCTGATCAAACCATGACAGGCTGAGGTTTGCACAGACCTACGATTCTTCCCAACTGCAGCACAACACTAGGATGGGCCTCTTCCTTTCTTGAAGCTTCAGCTTGTCTAGTCGAAGCAAGCCTGGTGGTGGAGAGTAAGCATGCGCACACATATGCACCCCAACTCCCGTAGAGCTGACATAAAATGATGCTGCAAATAGGGTCGAATAAAAGCCCGGAGCCCACGGTTCTTCCTACAGCCCTCAGCTAGCAGAACATTGGCACAGCAGAGGGTCTTAACAAGCTGCAAGTGAGGACTTTGGGGAACTCTTGAAAAAAAGATACATACAGAGAGATCAAGAAGTGAAAATGAATATATGATGATTTGGTTAGAAGCTACATTTGAACAGGAAAATAGAAGATAGAGCATAATAACTCAGGGGGGGTCCCTCAGCACACAGTGAAGGTTTGGATGCACATCAAAAGGGGTTAGTTACCAGCCTGCGTGCAGCACACTCCCAGCTGAAGCTCTGGGACTCCCACACGAAGATTATCTAATTGTCTCCACTCTTAGTGCCCCCAAAAAGAGTTAAAATGCCAATGCGAGTCTACCGGAAGCATTTTATGACAATAGAGGCATACTGAACACTCTCCAAATAAAGCCACCTGTAACTAAAGCCCCTGCAAAGGAGATGGCCTTTCTGTTAAACATGTGGCATCGTTACTACCATCCAGATGTAGAATACAAGCGCCCTAGGAGCCCCTACACCCCTTCCCCCAATTTCCACCGGTCCAGTCAGGAGGGACAAGAAGCTGGCTGACTGCGCACCCAAGAAAACAACCGGGGCTCCACAGAGTATGACTTCTTGGCATTGTATGCAAAGCTCTTATCCCTTCCCTCCAGCCCACAGGTTAGTCCACAGGTCCCCCCAACAGATGCCATCAGTTTAATCTCCAACACCCACAAAAGCTAACTGAAGAGACACCTAGGCATCCAAAATCAGAAATGGAGGCGGGGGCTGTAAAGGGGGGGAAAGGTGAAAGCTGGAGACGTCAAATTCAGAGCCTAGTACTTGTTAAAGACAAAACTAAACAAGCATAGTAGGTTTTAGATTACCCTAGACAGAAGAAGTGGAAAGGGATGGAAGCATTATCATGCCTATAATAGATGGGATGTGGACAATGCAAAGAAAATCTGTCCATAAACACAGCTCTTTCTGAAAGTTTGGGTAGAGGCTGGAACTTTTAGTGTGCATCGAATGGGGGAGGGATAACGCAATCAGAGCAATTGCTATTGATTTGGAGTATGGCTAAACTCTTTACTTAATGGCTACTAATGAATGAGACCTTTCTTCAGCTGGCAGAAGGATCTTGCTTACGCCCAATTTGATTTTCCTAAAGACTCCCGTCCCCCCCTGCCCCCCCACCACCAGGATAAAGTCCCAAAGGGTTCTTTCTGGAATCAGGAGGGGCCATGAAGTGCCTCGTTTTCCTCTCCAGGCCTCACATCTCCCACCTGTTTCCGAATGATCTGTTGTGGGTATTTTCTACGGGAACTTCTTTGAAATTAAGAGGGAAAACGCTCAGCTCTCAGTAAGTGAGGGGCTGGTGATCAGGGGCACAAGAAGAACGAAAAATGAAATTACCGCAGGACACTTCCGGTAACCCACATTTTCAACCTGAAATAACGGAGATTCCTCATTATTCTGCAAACTGACTACAAGATTTAGCCAACTAGGCTTAAGAAGATGCCTTGCACTTCCTTAGCGGCGGAGGGGAGCGTGGGGGGAGATAAGTTTGCCCCCCCCATCTAAGAAATTCCCACACCCCTCCCCCAGGAGGCTGCACCTGGGCTGATGTGCTAGTTCCAAACTCAGAGCAGTGAACCCACCTGCCTGGTTCTACCCAATCCTCAGGAGCCTGTGACCTGGCACAGCTTACACGTGCCCCAACTCCCCTCTTCCTTACTCCCAGGATCCCTGCCCATCAAGGCGTTATTTCGGGGGGAGAAGGGGCTGAAAATCAAACAGTCCCTTAAAGGGAAAACAGGGAGAGCGGGTTGGCATTATATAACAATATACACCAGAAAACGAAAGTCGCCAAAGTAGAGGCAGGGGAAGGCGAGGGGAGCAGGGCATCTGGAAGCCACCACTTACTCGAAGGCGAAGAAGAGCCCACTAGTGACCAGGATGAGAATGAGCGTCAGGTAGAAGACGCCCGTCTGCCGGGCCATCATAATCCTCCCGTTGCAAAAGAACTTGTTTCTCCCCGGGAACACCTCCCATTTCCTCCGGGCCGCGATTTTCTTCTTCTTGTGGGGCGACTCCATCGGGGAGGAGCTGTGGGTGCTGATCTGACTGTACTCGCAGTCTTTCATGGGCCCGCCGCCGCCGGGAGGCATCCACGAGGGCAGCCGGCTGGGGGCGCACACCCCCAGAAGCCCCCCGGCCGTGCGGGTCCCGCCGAGCCACGGCCGCCGCCGGCCACCCGGCCGGCCCCCGAGGCGCGGCGCTGTGACCCCTAAACGGGCTCCCGGCTCGGCGACAACTTTGCCGAGGACACCCAGGTTAACCCCTTGGGGAGCCCAGCTGTCATAGCAGAATCCGCTTTCCGGAGGTACGATGCTAGTCCTCAGCCCGCGGCAGCGGTTCTCCGTGGCTTCCAGCCCGTGGGTCGGGGCTATAGGACCCCGTGGGGGCGCGGGGGACCGTTCAGCACACCCCCAAATCGCGGTGCGCCTGGCCCAGCCGCCAGCAAGCTCCCGGCTGCGCCTTTGCTCCGGCCCGCGGATCCACGATCGCCGCGCCCAGAGGGGACACTAGGCTGCAGACTCCACGCCGGCTCCCTCCAGAGCCACTTCTGCGCCTCGGCCAGGTGGCTTCTACTTCTTCCCGGTGGCGGATCCTCCCAGAGGAGAGCGCTGCAAACTGGGAGGCAGCTCGCGGCACCGGCAACCCCTCCCAGGGGTGGGGACAGCCACGCGCGTTATTCTGTCAGGAGCTGTTCGTTAAGAGCCGGGCGCTGCCCGCACGGCGACCCCGCGTCCACAAGCCGAGCAGCCGCGCCGTGTCCGCCGCCCTTTGCACGGGGCTCCCGGCAGAGGGTGGAGGCGGCGGCTCCCGGGGCTTCCTCGGTTCCTTCTGTCTGGAGGAGCCAGCCCTAGCTCGGCGAGGGCCGCCGGAGGGCCGCGGGGACACTGCCACAGACACTTGTTTGCAAGGCTCAGCCCCGGCGCGCGCGCGGCGCTCCGCTCCGAGCAGGTCCGCCTCCTCGCGGCCGGGTGGGCGGTGACGCCCGCGCCTCACAGCCGGGCTCCTCCTTCTGCTCCTCCTCTTCGCCAGCGAAGCCGGGGCACCGGCTCCCCGGGGTCCCTGCCCCAGTCCCCTCGGGCCAGAGAGCAGGGCTCGGGAACTGGGCCTGCCTGGCGCACCCAGAGGAAGACGCCTGGCTCCCGGTGACATTCTTCGCCCCAGGAGCGACCGGGTCGTTGCCCTCTGTACTGAGGCGCCATGCGCTCCCCGCGGACTTCGGTCCGCTACAGGCTTCTCCTCCGGACTATTCCAGGCAGCAGCTGCCGCCTCGGGACACGCGCATCCTCACGGCCACTCGCCAAGCCATTCTTGCAACTACCAGGGACCTGAGTACCCTCGGCGCGGAGACGTGACCTTCCCTGGCCTGCCCCCAACTCGTCCTCTTCCTTCCCAGCGCCACGCGTGGCCGAGCTGCTGGGGAAACTCTACTGAGCCCAGAAGAGGGGTTGGAATGCCTGATGACAGAGTGATGAGCAGCGGCCCAGACTTCGGGACCTCGAAGGGCAGGAGACAGAAGAGCGGTCTGTGTCCGCCCCAACAGCGACCAATTGGGTCCCTCCTTCGGATTAAAAGCCCTTTGTGACAGGCTTTGTTTGGCTCGCTGCCTCCCCCACTTCTCATCCTCTACTTTTGCCCCACTGATGCTCACAGTGTTCCCGTTTTTCTTCTGTCTCCTTTCCCCTGTGGAGCCCACACACAATAAAGGGACCGCACGTCTAGAGGATGCTTGGAGTGCGTTTCCCTCCACCCCAGCCTCACAGTCGGGTGGACCAGTGGTCTCAACCCGAGTTCCAGACGCCTACGCGCTTTTGCGCTCCTGGGCTTCGAGGCCGTGTGAGAGCGCTTACTGGGGTTGTGCACTAGGGTAACCAAGAGCAAAAAGGCACCAGGCAGCTACGCTCGATTTTCCGAGCCCTACTTTCTTTTCGGAGCCCGCTGGGATATGTAGTTCCTTCTCTCGCTGTCCAGCTCTGAGAGGAAACGTGACTTGGGGACCTGAAACTACAAGTCCCTGCATCCCCTGCGACGAAGGCGGGGGAGGCAAGGTACTGGACGTTCTGGTGCTCAGCGTTTGGAGAGCAACAAAGACAGCTTTGGGAAAGGTGCTTTCTCTGTGAGGGTGGGTACCTGCTCACTGCCCGCCTTTGCTAGGCAATCCTCACCACAATCCTGCGATGCACTATTGTACCCAGCTCAGAGAAACTGCTTGCCCAACACTACAAAGCTGTCCAGCGACAGAAATGGCATTGGACCCAGAGCTCAGTTTTTCCCTCACAAAGAGCGCCTCAGTGCTACCCCGAAGCGGAAAAGAGCGCGACCAGATGGGAAGTGGTGGGAATAGGAGTGGTACTAAGATAGGTCGTGGTGTCACAAGAAGTTAAAAACAAGTGCGATTCTTAGGGGCTGGATAGGGCTTTTTCTTTGTTTAGTGAGTGGATGGGTGTGCTTTCTGAAACAAGTTCTCTCTCCTGTAGCATAGGCAGGTCTCCGAGTCCCGATTCTCTGCTTCAACCTTTTGCATACTGAGATTAGAGATATGTTCCACCAAATCCAGCAAAGGATCTTAAATGGACATTTGGGATTAGCCTTGAATTGTTTGAGATATTTATGACAGAAAATAAACACACTACAGAGGCAACTAAGTGCTTGCTAGCTATGCTATTAAAAAAAAAAAACCTGGCATTTGAAGTAAAAGCTTGTGTTCTTTCTACCCTTTAACTGACTGTTGTATCTATTGTCTTGGTAATAGAAAACGCCCTCTCTAGGGGTTAGGAGTGCAACTTGGTGGTAGAATACATGCCCACTCTTATTCTCAACTAAACTGGATTTTTTTTTATTATTTCTTTCTTTCTTTCTTTCTTTTGGCATATGGCGCTGTTGAAAAGTTCACCCTCTAGGGATGTGTGCTAAAAGTATTTGTGAGCAAGATGACAGAAAGATTAGAATGTGCTTTTAGACACTCCAGCGCCTCCACCTCCCCCACACAAGGAGCCAGAAGGAACAACTCTGGGAACTCTGGGAAAGTGGCGACATGCGATGTAACTGTGTTTCATTAGCCATTGCTGACTGTCACAAACCGGGGGCCTTGACCACAAGTGTACCCTGCAGCCTCTGTGGTTCAGGTATCCGAGTCGATAGTCTTCTGCCCACACCGTCAAGGTAGAGCCCAGGTTGTGCTCTCGTGACCTGGAGAAGAATTCGGGTTCCTAGCAGAATTCATTTTCATGCATGTGTAGGATGCCTCCAACTTCTTGCTGATTGAACCATGGAAACTGTCCCCAGCTCCCAGAGGGCATCTGCAGCTTCTAGAGGCTACCTGTAGTTTATTATCACCCTGGCGTTTCCCAGAATTCTTTAAGCCAACAAGGAAAGTCTGCCAGCAAGCAGGCTCTATATAAGAGTCAAATGTTCAGGTTCCCTTAGCCAGAAAGCAAATCACAGGTTGCAAGGGAAGGGAACACTCAGGAGGGTGGACGCTAGGGTAATTCTGTCCACCAGAGTATGTAAGAGGGTCAGTCCACTCTTATTCATCATGTGTGCTTATCTTTATATTTGCCATTTCCATATAAAAGGATGGAATCATTTGTCTTAAAATTATGGCTGGGGAAGGGGGTGGAAAGATGACTCAGCGCTTGAGAGCCCTTGCTGCCCGTCTGTTAACTGTACAGTTTTATCATCCACCTCAAGTAAAGCTACCAAGCTGTCAGCATCTTGGCACTTCCTTCCTTGCATTGTTGGTGGTGTCTTGGATGCCAGTGGTCTTTCTCTGTTCTCGGCTGACTTGGTGGACTCTCTAGCAACAAAATCAGAGGTTTCTTTCATCTGAGTGGCTCAAAGCATTTCACACCCTCCTCGTGGGTTCTCAGGATACCTTGAAGCAGCCAACATGGGAGAAGGCCCTGTTCAGTGCACAAAGCAGCATGTTGGGGTTCCAGGAGACCTGGTGATTTCCTGTGTGCATCTCTCCGGGCTGGCATGGATGTGCACTCAGGGTGGTCAGGTACCTAAGACAAAGAGAGAGGCCTAGGAGAACGCTGGAGAATTTTTATCTAAACACAAGACCTTTCATTCTGAATAGAATTCTGGAGAAAATTAGACTCCTAATTCTTTCCAGCACAGAGATTCTGCTCACAATTGTGAAATGCTCAGCGTATCTAGAGACATTTAGTATCAAAAGGCAAAACGTTTAAAGTTGATACACTCAGCATGTCACAGAAACAAAACACCTTAAGGCAGGAACTTTTTTTTTGTCTATATAGATTTTTTTGGATTTTTAAAATTTATTTATTTATTAATTAATTAATTAAAGATTTCTGTCTCTTCCCCACCGCCGCCTCCCCTTTCCCTCCCCCTCCCCCAATCAAGTCCTCCTCCCTCATCAGCCCAAAGAGCAATCAGGGTTCCCTGCCCTGTGGGAAGTCCAAGGACCACCCACCTCCATCCAGGTCTAGTAAGGTGAGCATCCAAACTGCCTAGGCTCCCACAAAACCAATAAGTGCAGTAGGATCAAAAACCCATTGCCATTGTTCTTGGGGTCTCAGTAGTCCTCATTGTCCGCTATGTTCAGCGAGACCGGTTTTAACCCAGGCTTTTTCAGACCCAGGCCAGCTGGCCTTGGTGAGTTCCCGATAGGACATCCCCATTGTCTCAGTGTGTGGGTGCCCCCCTCGAGGTCCTGAGTTCCTTGCTCATGCTCTCTCTCCTTCTGCTCCTGATTTGGACCTTGAGATTTCAGTCCGGTGCTCCAATGTGGGTCTCTGTCTCTGTCTCCTTTCATCGCCTGATAAAGGTTAATATTCAGGAGGATGCCTATATGTTTTTCTTTGGGTTCTCCTTCTTATTTAGCTTCTCTAAGAATCCGAATTATAGGCTCAATGTCCTTTATTTATGGCTAGAAACCAAATATGAGTGAGTACATCCCATGTTCCTCTTTTTGGGTCTGGCTTACCTCACTCAGGATGGTGTTTTCTATTTCCATCCATTTGCCTGCAAACTTCAAGAAGTCCTTGTTTTTTACTGCTGAGTAGTACTCTAATATGTATATATTCCATACTTTCTTCATCCATTCTTCATTTGAAGGGCATCTAGGTTGTTTCCAGGTTCTGGCTATTACAAACAATGCTGCTATGAACATAGTAGAGCATATACTTTTGTTGTGTGATAAGGCCTCTCTTATATTCCCAAGAGTGGTATTGCTGGGTCCAGGGGTAGGTTGATCCCGAATTTCCTGAGAATCCTCCACACTGCTTTCCATAGTGGTTGCACAAGTTTGCATTCCCACCAGCAATGGATGAGTGTACCCCTTTCTCCACAACCTCTCCAGCAAAGGCTATCATTGGTGTTTTTGATTTTAGCCGTTCTGACAGGTGTAAGATGGTATCTTAAAGTTGTCTTGATTTGCATTTCAGGCAGGAACTTTTTAAAGTGAAAATTTCTTATAATCTTTTCAGGGACTGAAGAGATGGCTGAGAGGTTTAAGAGCACTGGCTGTTCTTCCAGAGGCTGTGAGGTCAATTTCCAGCAACCACATGGTGGCTCTCAAACAACTGTCATAGAATCTGATGCCCTTTCCTAGCATGCAAGTGTGTATGCAGAGGACTCATGCACAAAATAAAAGTAAATAAAAAACCAAGTTAGATCGAGTGATTTGTTTTGTCCTTTTACCCAAAAAAGCTGCTTTAGTATGTTTATGAAATAATGCTGCACCGTGAAAGCTAGTATTACTCATTCATCAGTTACCTAGATAATATCCTTTCGGGTTCTTTCTCCCAGCTCAAGAATCTCACTTTGCACCTTGTTTTCAGACTCGGTCTCCTTTAATACAGAACATTCAGCCTGCTCTCTTTGAGTTCATTCAGCTTGGAGTCAGGAAGAGGTTGGCCACACTTTTGTCAACAGGATTCATTTGGG